ATCTCACTAATGAAATATTTTTAAATCAATTTTTACACTAAGGTCCTGTAGACTGACACGTTCTGAGTAAATATTACAGTCATGCACAACTGTTTTGGTCAGTACATTCTGAAACTGACAGTAGATACCTGGGGGTTGGCAAATGCCTCTTAAATGTCTTCATTACCCCTTGAATGGCTCTTTAACAGTTTCAGTGTTGTGCTAATAGGTCTAGCAGGCTGGAGACTTTCTCTTTTAACTACTAGATCCCCTTCCCAGGAAGACTCAGAGCCTCAGGAAGGGTCAGAACAGGGATAGGAAAACCAGTGGGGTGGACACTAAGACCCAGTGGTGCCCCAAATTTTGAGGTGCCCTACGCAGCTGCCTATGCCCGAGGATGGCCCTGGGCGCCCCCAACCACTTGGCGCTCTACGCAACTGCCTAGTTGGCCTAGTGGTTGCACCGGCCCTGCAACCACCAGTTTGAGCTGTTTAATCTCCCAGAGATTTAAAACTCGGAGCTGGACTGGAACTAGCACTGTCTAGGGTTACTGATCCAAATTTGTGGTCATTTAAGCCAAGGATTTCCTCTCTCCCCCTGCTCCCCCAAAATGTCCTTTTCTTAAGGATCACGGGTTCTACCAATGATTTTTTTGGTGCCAGACCTGATGAAAGCACTGTGAAGTTTTCAAGCTTGTGTCTCTTCCACCAACAGAAGCTGGGACCATAAGGATATTTCCTCACCCTCTTTGTATCTCTAATATCCTGGGACCAAGATGGCCTCAACCAAATTATTGTGCCCAGTTCTGGGCACCACATTTCAGGAAAGATGTGGCCAGATAGGAGAAAGTCCAGAGAAGAGCAACAAAAATAACGAAAGGTCTAGAAAACATGACCTTTGAGGGAAGATTGAAAGAACTGGGTTTGTTTAGTCTGGAGAAGAGAAGGCTGAGGGGCAACATGGTAACAGTTTTCAAGTACATACAAGGTTTTTACAAGGAAGAGGCAGAAAATTTGTTCTCGTTAACCTCTGAGGACAGGACAAGAAGCAATGGGCTTAAATGGCAGTAAGGGCGGTTTAGGTTGGACATTAGGAAAAACTTGCTGTTGGGATGGTTAGGCACTGGAATGGATTCCCTAGGGAGATTGTGGAAGCTCCATTGTGACGGGATCCCTGGGGTGCAGCCTGGGACTGTGGGACTGCTGTGCCCCCTGAACTCTCTCCAGTCTGGGCTGTCTCCCACAATGCCTTGCTAGTGACCAGCAGCAAACCCCTCCAGGTGCTGTTATCACTCACCACAACCGCATGTGGAGCCCCACACCCAGCTAGATTCCATGAATGCTCCCAGAGCCGGTCATGAATCACACAGAGAAAGGCACCAGAGCCGAATCCCCCCAGCTCCCAGCACTGTCCCTCAGGAATATACCGTCTTGCACTGCTCAAGACGAGCAGTGCAAATTTATTCATTGGTTCCCCACTTCATCAATGGAAAGTGAACATACACCAACCAGCCGTTGTAAAACAAGAGCAGATTTACCACATACTTCAGGCAAACTCACTGGTAAAGATAAACAGTAAAAGAAGTTTATTGGCTACAAAAGATTGTTTTTAAGTGACTATAAGTAATAGGCAAAAAGCGTTAGTTACCAAAAGAAAAGAAAATATAATTAGGCAGTCTAAACTCTCAACCCCATTAGATGGGGCAACATCTAGATTGACCAGTTTTTCTCACCCCACTGAATAGTGCAGTCCATAGTACACAGGTTTCATCCTTGAAATCTGGGCCAGTCCCCTCTGTTGAAGTCTTTAGAGTAGGTTGGGGAAGGAGAAAGGCCAAGCATGGGCCCCCTGTGTTCTGTTTTATACCCTCAGTCCCAGGTGCTTGGAGAACACAAGTCCAGACATGTCTGGGGGCATTGCTAAGTTCCCAGGCAAGGTTGAGCAATTCCCTTGGTGTGGCCTTATGCAGGTGAGTCATTGCATTGTAGCTCCCTTGCTGGACAATGGCTGGCGATGACTGTTTAGCACCCACCCGGGTGTTGGTACCTCCCTTGTCATTGTCTCTGGAGAGTCAGTATCTGGGCGCCTCCCAAACCCACAGCATATTTTAGTGACAACCATACAACACAATTCTCATAACTTCATATATATTAATGATATATTTATATAGAGCAGTGACTTTCAGGAGATAATAACCTTTCTGCTGGTAGCTCACACAACCTGCTTTATATGCAATATCACAATTATATATAAATGATCAATATGGGGGTTACAGGGCAGCCCCCAAGGTACAAAATGTCACCATCACTGGAGGTTTTTAAGAGCAGGTTAGACGAACACCTGTCAGGGATGGTACTTGGTCCCCACCTGACCTGTGGGTGCTTGGTCCTGCCATGAGTGCAGGGGACTGGACTAGATGACCTCTCAAGGTCCCTTCTAGTCCTATGTATATGATTCTCTCCAAGTAGTTTTTTATTCTGGTTATTGTGGTTTAGGGCTGCAGCGAGGGGAGGGGGATAAATGGGGTGGTTGATGGGGAGGGATTGGGGGCCACCTCAGGGGGAAGGGATGGGGATGAGGGGTGTGACACTAGGATGGGTGACACACAGGTGAGTAGCAGAGAAAGGGGGAGGGATGAAGGGTGAAGGAGTGTGTCAGCCCCACATAGTCTCCTCCCAGGTGT